CTCGGAAGGAAGGTTGGGCAATCCTACTTCCGTAGTGATACTGCCTCGGAAACCCAAGGAGGGGTCGCTATGAGTCGGGGCCGACTCGAAGGCAAACAACAACAACAAGTGATTGGAATGCAAAAGTTGGAAACAAAGAAGAATCACCAGTAGTTGGAAAATATGGCCTTGATGACAGAAATAGTGCTGGAGATCACATGATAGCATTTTGCAAGATCAATGACCCACTCATTGCAAATACCTTTTTTCAACAACACAAATGGTAGCTGTACACGTGGACTTTGCCAGATGGAGTACTACATCTGTGGAAAGAGGAGATGGGGAAGTCAATATCTGCAGCCAAAACAAGGCCAGGAACTGACTGTGGAACAGACTATCAACTACTCATTTGCAATTTCAAGTTGAAGCCGAAGACAATTAAAACAAGTCCACGAGAGCCAAAATATGACTTTGATTATATCCCTTCTGAATTTAGAGACCATTTAAAGAATAGATTTGATCCATTGAACACCAATTACCGAAAACCAGAGGAATTGTGGGATGATATCAAGAACATCATCCATGAAGGAAGCAAAGGTCATTAAAAATATGAGAAAGAAAGAAAAGACCAAAATGGACTTCAGAAGAGCCTCTGAAACTTACCTGCTCTTGAACGAAGAGTAGCTAAAGCAAATGGAAGAAATGACAAGATAAAAGAGCTGAATAGAAGACTTCAAAGAGCAGCTTGAGAAAACAAAGTCAATTATTATAATGAAATGTGCAAAGACCTGGAGTTGAAAATCAAAAAGGAAGAACATGCTTGACATTTCTCAAGCTGAAAGAACTGAAGAAAAAATACAAGCCATGAGTTGCAATATTGAAAGATTCTATGGGCAAAATATTGAATGATGTGGGAAACATCAAAAGAAGATGGAAGGAATACACAGAGTCACTGTAGCAAAAAGAATTGGTCAATGTATATCCTTTTCAGGAGGTGGCATATGATCAAGAACCAATGGCACTGAAGGAAGAAGTCAAAGCTGCACTGAAGGAATTGGTGGAATACCCACTGGGATGTTTCAACAAACAGATGCTGTGCTGGAGGCACTCACTTGTCTATGCCAAGAAATTTGGAAGACAGCTACCTGGCCAACTGACTGAAAGAGATCCATATTTGTACCCATTCCAAAGAAAGGTGATCCCACATAATGTGGAAATTATTGAACAGTATCATTAATATGACAAGTAAAATCTTACTGAAGATAATTTAAAAATGGCTGCAGCAGTACATTGACAGAGGACTTCCAGAAATGCAAGCTGGATTCAGAAGAGGACATGGAATGTGGGATATCACTGCTGATGTTAGATGGATCTTGGCTGGAAGCAAAGACTACCAGAAAGATGTTTACTTGGCTGTTATTGACTATGCCAGAGCACTCAATTGTGTGGATCATAACAAATTATGGATAATATTGAGAAGAATGGGAATTCAAGAACACTTAATTGTGCTCATGGCAAACCTGTACATAGACCAGGAGGCTGTCATTCAAACATAACAAGTGGATACTGCATGGCTTGAAATCAGGAAGGGGGTGTGTCAGGGTTGTATCCTTTCACCATGCTTACTCAGTCTGCATGCTGAGCAAATAATCCAAGAAGCTGGACTACATGAAGAAGAGCATGGCATCAGGATTGGAGGAAGACTCATTAACAACCTGCGATATGCTGATGACACAACTTTGCTTGCTGAAAGTGAGGATGACTTGAAGCACTTACTGATGAAGATTAAAGACTATAAGACTATAGTTTTATAGTATGCAGTATGCATTACACTTCAACATAAAAAAATCCTCACAACTGGACCAATAAGCAGTGTCATGATAAATGGAGAAAAGATTGAAGTTGTCTAAGATTTCATATTACTTGGATCCATAATCAACACTAATGGAATCAGCAGTCAAGACATAAAATGATGTATTGCACTGGGCCAATCTGCTGCAAAAGATCTCTTTCAAGTGCTGAAAATCAAGTGCCGATCACAGATCTCTCCTTGAAGACTAAGGTGCGCCTAGCCCAAGCCATGGTATTTTCAATAACCTCATATGCATCTGAGAGCTGGACAATGAATAAGGAAGAGCGAAGAAGAGTTGATACTTTTGAGTTGTGGTGTTGGCAAAGAATACTGAAAGTACCATGGCTGCAAAAAGAACTAACAAATCTGTCCTGGAAGAAGTGCAGCTGGAAGGCTCCTTGGAAGCGAGAATGGCCAGACTTCATCTTGCCTACTTTGATTATGTTGTCAGAAGGGACCATTCCCTGGAGAAGGCTATCATACTTGGTAAAGTGGAGGGTCAACGAGAAAGGGGAAGGCCCTCAACGAGCTGGATTGACAGTGGCTCCAATGATGGGCTCAGGTATAGCAGAGATTGTGAGGATGGTGCAGGACTGGGAACTGTTTCATTCTGTTGTACACAGGGTTGCTATGAATTGGAGGTGACTGGGCGGCACCTAGTAACAACAACAACCCTGCTTCATTGACACATAAACCAAACTCCAAACTCACTACCATTGAGTAGATTCCTTTGGGTTTCCAAGGCTATAAATCTTTACGGAAGCACACTGCCTCATCTTTCTTCCACAGAGCAGCTGATGAGTTCAAACCACTGACCTTTTGGTTAACAGGCAAATACCTTCACCACTATACCACCAGAGCTCCTTCATTAATACATAGAGGTCAGGATTTACAACACATCACAAATGAAGTATAATTGCATCAGATCACATCATGAGGGATGATTACATCATTACATAACTGCCAAACCATGTGCCAAGTTGACACATATTGGGAGCCACAATTCAGTCCATGACAGGGTTAGGCTGTTTGGTGCTTATTTTCCATATCCAGCTCCCAGCCCCAATTCACATTCTTTTTCTTATCCAATCACCCTGGCTTGTTCAACTCCCCAACCTTAGGTGTCTCCCTCCACCAAATCCATTCTCCAGATTGATCCTTCTAAAACAAAAATCTGACATGCCACTCCCCTGCTCAAATCCCATCCACAGCCTCCTATTGCCTCAGGTTCTACTCCTTTGACACACAAGACCGTATTTCCATGATCTGACTACTCTGGTTCTCTCTCCTGGCACTCCCACCCCTACCCTCTTAGCGGTTTCACACTGCAACCACCCTGGTCTCTGATCACTCCCTGTCACTGCAAGTGATGATTCTCCCTCTAGGATGTTCTCCTACACTTAACTTGGAAAGCCTTTCCTAAGCCTGAGCCTGAGCCAGATGCCACAAGAGGTACCACTGTCCTTTATTTCTCTAATAGAAAGCTGCTTGAGGGCAGGGAAGATCAGTATCTGTTTTCTCTGTACAGTCCCTCTCCCACCAGATTTTCCCAAAACCCTGGTTTCAAGTCGTCTTTCCGGTTCTCAATCCATTTGTCCCGATCTGGGGTTGGGAAAATATGATTTCCAAAATGCACAGCGACCGCTGCCTAGCCAGGAGAAAGAACCTAGCCAAGGAGCGCTCCACCTGCACTTCCTGGGGCGGCCGCCAGGGGCCGCCGGCCTCTTTGTTTTCCCTTCTCGCCCGGGGTCGGGGCCAGAGGCCTGCAGAGCGCATGCTCTGGGCAGTTCGCGGCTGGGCCTGAGAGCGGTGGAGTTCCTTGTACCCGATCTGCGCCCAGGTAGGTCGTGCCCGAGGCACAGGAGGGTCGGCGGAGAGCTGCGAGAGGTGCTGCCCCAGCCCTAGCTCGGGCTGGTCCTGCGGCGGGCGGGGGCCATTGCCCGCACGCGCGTGGGTCCCGTGGTGCCTACCCCAAGTGAAGCTGAGCTGCAGGACCGCGCCGCTGCGGGGGGCCCTGGGCGGCCAGTTGGACCGGTCTTGTCTCAACGAGGGAAGCGCGACCCCTCTGCGCCAGCGGCTTTTACTCCCGCCCGGCGACGACCGCGCGGGCGGGAGATTCAAACCGCCCGAGCGCGGCGGCCGGCCAGCCCGACGGTGGGGCAGAGTGCACGCGGCTGCGGCGCGCCGGCCTCGCCCGCCTGAGTGGCCTCTCCGGCTGGGGTGTGCAGACACGCGCACCTCCTGGGCTGGGGCCGGCTGCCCTCGCGAGGGTTGTTTCCGGGGCGGAAAAAGTGATTTCTTCCTGCGTTGGAGAAAGAGGTTTGCAGAGCAGGAAAGCAGTCCTGCCGGGAAGGGGCTGCTTTAGAAACTCCAGGATGGGCTGGTTAGGATCTGCTGCTAGGAACCAAGCCTCTGCGTCAGCAGGCACCCAGACGGAAACTTTTGACCCCTTGGAGAGTGTGCTGTGATCTCCGCATCAACTTGCTCTGTCAATAGTTTACTTACTGGCCGTTTACTGTGTGCTGTTCTTGTAGGAATGGAAAACAGTGGTAAGAAAGGTCCCACGTGGCCTGTATGTAGTTCCTGGACTCTTTGGGTGCAGACTTCATGTGGGTCCCCAGTTTCAGTCCAAAACCCACCAACCCATTGCCGTGGAGTCGTATCCGACTCATAGCGATCCCTCCTTGGGTTTCCAAGGCAGTATCACTACGGAAGTAGATTGCCCAACCTTCCTTCCGAGGAGTGGCTGGTGGGTTGGAACTGCCAGCCTTCTGGTTAGCAGTCAAATGCCTTAGGCACTACGCTACCAGAACTCCACTTTTCAGTCCAAAGTGTTCACCTATGTATGCCCTTGGAGTTTGGACACTCCTGCCAGCAGCTGTCATTCATTCATCTAATATTAATTGAGCTTGTCCAACCAAGTGTGACTTGTGCCCTAGCAGAATTTTTTTTTTTTAATTTTTATTGTGATTTGGGTGAAAGTTTACAGAGCAAATTCTTTTTCCATACAGCAGTTCATATATTCAAACACGTTTTGTCTTATGACATTGATTACAATCCCTAGGTAACAGCTCTCTTCCCACTTCCTCTCTATAATTACCTCTTTTCCTGTGTCCTTCCCTCCTGAGAACTCCTGCCCCATCCCCCAGCTGTCTCCCCATGCAAATACTGCCATTTCTGTTCTCCCACAATTAATTGCTCCAAGGAGTGTATCTACTTGATGCAAATGTTTACTCCATATGGCTGTCTATTGTTTGGCTGGAAGCCACAGGAGTGAGTTCAGTTCCAGACCTGATGGGTAACTAGGGGCCATAGCCTTGGGGGTCTCACCAGGCTCTATCAGACCAGCATACCTGGTCTTCTTTTTTTTTTTTTTTTTTTATGATTTTGAGTTTTGTTCCACATTGTTCTCCCACCCCATCCAAGATCTCCTGCACTGATTCACCTCCTAGTGGTTGACAGTGGTAGCCAGACACCAACTGATTCTTCTGGTCTCATCATCCTGTAGGTTGAGGATCACGTGGTCTACTAGTTCCTTGGACTAATTTTTACGTGTGTCTTTGGTTTTCTTTATTCTTTGCTGTGGATGAGGAGAGACCCATCATTGCATCTAGATGGCCACTTCCAGGCTTTTAAGACCCCAGTCTCTACTCACCAAAGTGGGATGTAGAATAATGTTTTTGTGTAGTATGTTATGCCATTTGAGCTTGATGTCCCCTGTGATCATGGTCCAGAGCCCACAGGTGCAACTACTCGCTCCCTCAGGGTAGCTGGCTGTGGTTGAGAAGTCACTGCAGCCTTGTCCCTTGTCAGCTCCACTATACACCCAGACATTCTTACAACACATACAAATAGAAACATCTGGGAGACAGACTTTGGATGGAAGGGTTAGGATGCTTCAGCTAGGGGCACAGCAGATGCAGAGGCATGGAGGTATAGATGAGTGTCGTTATCATGACACCACAGGTGTTTAAGTCTGACTGGAGCAAAGGGTGTAAGGACAGGAGTAACAGGTGGTAGAACTGGAGAAGGAGGCAGGTTAGGCCATTGAGGGTTTGGTGTGGAGACCTGAATGGGTTGGAAGGGTCAGGAAGTTTTCCCCCAAGAAGACCTATGAGAGGAATGTGGGAAGTTGGATAGGAGTTCACCAGACTCACCAGATTCCTGTTGTAAAGACATGGCAAAAGCAGGAGGCCTGTTTTATTTAGCTTTGTAATTTACTACTCAGGTATCTTAGGCTATCCACCCAGTTTCTCTGAGTCTTAGGCCTGATGGTTTAGTGGTTTATGAGGTCAGCCACTAATGGAAAGGTTTGTGGTTCAAACCCACTGGCCACTTCATGGGAAAGAGGTGGCAGTCTGGTTCTGTAAAGATTTACAGCCTTCAGAACCCTATGGGGCAGTCACTGTGTTCTTACAGTGTCACCGTGAGTCAGAATAGACTTGAAGGCGACAATTTAGGTTTGGTTGTTGCTTCCTTTCTGTAAAATGAATGTAAGAGGCATATGGTAAGGATTACTGATAATCCTATAATTTTCATAAGGCAGTGGTTTGAAGCATCTGGTAAAAAATGTGGCCTCATAGAAAAATGAACACATACAGGCCCAGGCACCACTCTGCAAGCAAAGGGGACCCCAGGTGAAGAGCTCCTTGTGCAAAGTGTACAAGTTGTGTGCCTGGCATGTAGCAGGAGCTCAGCGTATGTCAACACATGAGCCACTCTCCTCTCTTCTCTCCTGGAGACCTTTCACAAAAGAGATTGTTCAGCCTCCGAGTCTGGCAGGCAGGTGTCTGCCTCCTGGCAGGGGAGAGCAAGGGGACAGCTGCAGAGATGACTCTATCTCCCTTTGTAGAAATGAGGTTATGGTGAAGTGAGGTCATAGAGTCACAGCAGGAACACGACACTCCCCTGAAGACTGAGGCCCAAACCAAATCCCATTGCCATCAAGTTGATTCCAACACATAGAGACCCTGTCAGGACAGAGTAGAACTGCACCATAAAGTTTACAAAGCTGTCAATCTATTTTTATTATTTTATATTTTTATTGCGGGTTGGGTGAAAGTTTACAGAGCAAATTGGTTTTCCATACCACCATTCATACACATTTTGTGTCATGACATTGACTGCAGTTCCCCACAATATAACAGCTCTCTTCCCACTTCCTCTCCGTAGTTATCTCTTCCCTGTGTTCTTCTTTTCTGTGCATTCCTGCCCTCTGAGCTATCTCCCTGTGGAAATACTGCCCTTCTGTTCTCCCAGGATTGATCATTTTAGGGAGTGTATCTGCCTGATGTAAATGTTCGCCCTATATGCCTGTCTGTTGTTTGGCTGAAAGCCAAGTGCAAAAAGGGTGTGGAGGTGGCATCTTCTGATCTCCTGTAATTTCACAAGAGAAAGACAGAATCACCAAAAGCTTGTTCTTATGAGGCCAGACATGCCGCCACTATCCAGCCTTTTACTAATTCTCACACCAACCTTCCCTCCCACGTCACTCACTACTACTTCTGCTGGGTTCAATAATTTGTTGTAATGGCCACACAGAACTCATAGACAATACTCACGATTATGGGGTTTATTAGGGAACAAACAGCTATTATTCAGATTCAAGAATGCGCTCAAATATAGTTCTTCAATCAAGACAGTCTCCCCTCTGCTGTGCCCTCAGACGTGCCTCTCTGGCCTTTGGCCTCTCAACCTGGCCTCTGCCCTGCAAATGTTATAAAGCTCGTTTAGCTGTGCCAATTGTTGTTGTTATGTGCCGTCGAGTCGGACCTGACTCATAGCGACCCCTCCTCGGGTTTCCAAGGTGGTATCACTATGGAAGTAGATTGCCCAACCTTCCTTCCGAGGAGTAGCTGGTGGATTTGAACCCCCAGCCTTCTGGTTAGCAGTCAAGTCCCAACATCAACAAGTTCTATACACCTTCTGTGCATGGTCCCACCCAGTAATCTGGTGGGAGTTAAAAAGACTATGGCTAGAAAAGCCATACCAAGTAATTCATTGCACCATGCTATGGGAGTGAGTTCAGTTTCAGATCTGAAGGGTGACTAGGGGCCATAGTCTGAGGGCTCTCAACAGGCTCTATCAGACCAGTAAACCTGGTCTATGCTATGATTCTGAGTTTTGTTCCACATTGTTCTTCCGCTCTATCCAGGATCTCCTGCGCTGATCCCTTTCCAAGTTGTTGATGGTGGTAGCTGGGCACCATCTAGTTCTTCTGGTCTCATGGTCATATAAGCTGAAGTTTGCATGGTCCACTAGTCCCTTGGCCTAATTGTTTCCATGCATCTTTGGTTTTCTTCATTCTTCTTTGCTCTGGATGAGGAGAGACCAATTGTTGCATCTGCGTGGCCACTTGTAAGCTTTTAAGACCACAGTCACTACTCACCAAAGTAGAATGTAGAACAATGTTTTTGTATAGTATGTTATGCCAATTGAAGTTGATGTTCCCTCAACCATGGTCCAAAACCAAGGCTACAAATCTTTACAGATGCAGACTGCCTCATCTTTTCTGTGACAGTGGCTCATGGATTTGTACAGCCTGCCTTTTCAGTTAGCAGCTGAGTGCTCAACCACCGTGCCACCAGGGTTCTTAATTAAGGCCCAAGGAGAAGTAATATGGGGCTGGGGTGGTGAGGGGGAGGTGTTCTGGCTCTGGAAGAGAGTGGTCAGGAGACCTGGGATTTCATTTCACTGTTGTGTATCTTGGGGCCACTACTGCCTTTCCCTGAGCCTCAGCTACCTCATCTATAAAACGCGCGTGCGCACGTGTGTGTGTGTATGTGTGTGTGTGTGTGTGTGTGAGAGAGTGATTATGATCACACCCACCTCAGAGGGCAG